GAGAATAAAAGTTACGCCTTCTTTCTTTGCGTGAACATTTGGGCGGCGTTATGCATATCTTCCCACATAGTGAGGTAGATATGTGGGGGCGTGTTCGAACGAGCCGTTTTAGGTAGGTGTGGCTAACTCTTAACTTTTATAAAGAATATCTCTTTGGATTTGAGACTTTAGACTTTGCAACTTTACAGATCTTCTTTATGCACCAAGAGCTTGTAACACTCTAAAGAGAAAGGAAAAACTGAAATCGCATCATATGACCCCTTTAAAATAGCTAATATATTCAATGATAAAACACCACTTCTTGTTACATTTCTGGATGACCTCCATATGAAAGTTCATACAGTATCTCATCAGTGTGACAACATCTACTCTGGGACTAAGTTTACCTCAAAATTGTCACTGACATGATGTGGTTCCTTGAACGTTACTCTCTGACGTCATGGTATGAAGAAACTCTTCTGTGATTGGCTGTTTAACTCAGCTGAGAAAACGTCACTTTTATGACATCAAAAGAACTCTTTCCATATTAATCCACATTAAGATACTAATTCAGTGTGGTCGCTTTCATGTGACTCTTGTGTCTTAGAAGAGGGTTCATATTAGAGTTCCTATTGACATAATAATACACACAAAAAAGTAAGCACTAAAAATATATATACACTTACATTTCAGATGAAACACACACACAGTCACACACACAATCACAGAGCTGTAACTGTGGTCAGGTCACATTTAAACACCTAAGTGACTCTGTGACCGCAGCATGAGGATCTACTGTATCAGATTACACACCCTGATCAGACATTTAATCTTGTTAACTGCACCTCCTATAATCCTTAATCTGTCTACCGGCTTCTCAACACTTGGCATCATGATTTTTCCTACAAGCATTAGGGAAACTTCTCTTGCAATATAGCGGTGTTATTTTAGTATTTTTGCATTTTTGCATTTTCTATTTTAATTTTAATTTTAGTTGAAGTTTTAGTAATTTTATAAATAAAAATAATAAATATATAAATACATTGAAAAATATGTCTTAATATATCAAATTATTTTTATATTTTATTTCAGTTAACATATTTTATTTCAAGTTAAAAAAAGTTTTTATTGAATAATAACTGAATATAGCACATTGTGTTAATCTACAAACAGTAAAGTACAGTATGTGTGCTGTGCCTATGGAACAACTTGTTTTTATTAAATGCACACACACACAGTAAGTAAATGAATGAATGAATGAATGAATGAATAGATGGGTGGATGGAAACTGAACTGGTAATTTTCTGCCAGGACATTGTCCAGTAATTTTATGGACATTTCCGTTAACTCTAAAACACAATGAATGCAAGGAAGTGCAAAATTCAAACTACAGGTAAAACACCTGCAAAAAATCAATACGGAAAATTCCTTCAAATTAATGCAGTACATTGTGCTGTATTTTTACTGATGATGATTTTTTTACAGTGCAGAAATAAGAATTATTAATGCACTGCATTTTTTTTTTCAAATTTATTAATTTATAATCCTTTTTTATTTAAACAGCATGTAAAATACCCACACAGATTGGACATAAAGTATGCACAGTTTGCACAGACACATCTGTCTTTTCCAATAGATATTTCCATAATCAAATCAGATGTAAATACTTTTGTTCGGTGGGATCAGTGCTCATGACTTGTCCCTGTAACTGGATGGTCCTGTTAATTAACAGCGCTGAACATTTTCATAAGAAACTGCACACTGTACTGTTCCAGAACTCTTTCAGGCATTTCTTACACACTCCAAATGTCGGCACACATGTCTTTGTTCTAATAAAGTAGTTTCGGGTAACACTGTCTGCACCAAACACACATGACAGGGAAACACAAGCAACCAGTACCCGGAAACGCACGCATGGGAGGGATTCAAACTTACAGCAAGAGCTTTTGTGAATAAAATAGAGCGTGGGGAGTCCGATTCATTTGAGCGAATCGGTTTGTTCGGATGGTTCGTTTCAGTGAACTAAAAACGGTTCACTGGTTCAACCAAATCATCACTCAGGTTATTGTAGTAGTTAAGATTGTTTAGAAGATCAAAGGTTTTTTCCACTAACAATGTGGCATTTAGTTTTAATTCTGCTTGTTGACACAACAATAACTTAATAATTTGAGCCCCAAAAAAGCATTATTATTGTTATTATTGTTATTAATTGTCATATTTTAAACATATATTGTAACCCACAACCGTCTTATGCAAAATATGAAATAATATGGCATATTATTATTTATTTGTATTGTGTTTATTATTTTTAATGCATTTTATTTATTGTTTTGCATACTGCCGAAGCATAAATATACACGCAAACAGTGACAGTAAAATAATAAATAAAATAAAAATATATTAACAATAAATATAATAACATAATAGCCTAAAGAACAAGATTTTCGCCAACAGTGTGGTCTGAACGTATTTTTATTAGTGGTATATTATTATTAGGCTTATTATTAGTATTTTACACTTTTTGCATATACTATTGATAAAGCATACACAAACAGTGATAGGAAAAAATAAAGATAAAAAAATAAAGAGCCAGTAATGTTACAAAAAACAACTGCAATATACTGAATTATAAATGTATTTATTTAATGTATTCATTTAATGTTTGATAATACAACGTTTAGCTGTTTAATCTAAGTTACTATAATTGTGGTAGTTTGGTGGAAATTTCTAGTTGTAAGTGAGTCATTCACCAATGCTCAGACAGAATCTCAAAGAACCGGTTCAAAAGAACGATTCGCGAATCGAACAGCGCCAGTTACACACACGCGGCAGACGGCCAAAGGTTACACACGCATCGCTCTCAGTTGATAACCCGCGCCTGGCTCTCCATAAACCTCCGGTTCTTGTTGACATCCACCTCATTCGCCCGGTATTACGTAAACGACAAACAGGGAGAACGGTAAAGTTGCTCAAGGGTGCGCCTTGGACGCGGTGTCTGATGTAGACTCGGTTCGGAGTTGATCCCCCTTCCACTCACACCGCTGGCCTTCTATCCATTTCTCGACAGCCGGGAAAGAGGCGCTGGTCGCGGGAATGGATGCCGTGTGGATGCTGCCTGTGCTGCTGGTGCTCCCGCTCCTGTTATGGACCAGCAGCACGTTCGTTTTCTATTTCAAAAAGTGCTTCTATGTGGCGTACATGATGCTGCTGGCCGTTATCTCCATACCGATTTGCATTCTGAAAAGCGGCGGCAGGGACATTGAGAACATGAGGTGAGTTGTCAACAACGCAAGTCACATAATGTTACGTTTCTGCACTCGTACATTGCTTTAGGACAGTGGGCTGTCATTTTATGTGGTTATAGAGTGTTACAGTAACAAATATGTTTCATAGCCATATCACAACTTAAATTAAATTGACTGAAACAGGTTGCTATATACATACAGTCATACCTTTTATCATTTATGTTTAAACCCTGTAAAATGCTCTTTTATGCACCCACATATGCGTTTAATGACTGAAAAAAGAATGCATTTGTAACGGAATGCACTGCATCTGTTTACCCCGGACAGATGTTCGGATCACGCTTGTGAATCTTTAGCCAGCTCGCTAGGTACAGTTCACGCGAGAACACATGCAGGCCTCTGTATAGTATATTTAATGCGATATCAGGGTAATGCATTAATAAATGAAGCTCCGTGTGGTTTAACAGCATAAGCATATGTATTAGCGCGCGTGCATTTTGCCTCTCGTGTGTTTAAGCTGCGTGCTAGCAGCTTTAGCGTCTTGTGCAAGCCAGAGATGGCGACCAAAGCGTGTGTTTGTTTTCTGATGATATGCTGGGAAGGTGTTAGTTAAACTGATGTGGGTTGCTAGTTACGCATGCTCTAGTTTGTCCGAGCCAAGACTTTCTAGTTTGCATTAATGAGGTCGTGATGGATTGGTCTCATGGCTCCGCTGGTGCAGAGTTCATGCTGGTCGATGGGGCCAAATTAAAACTACAGTCACACGCGTTCCACACATTGGACAGTTGATCGATGGAATCGCGGATTTCAGGCCTTCAGTTTAGAATCAATGTTCGCGCCGAAAATCATTCTGAAACCTTCCGTAATGTCGATATCATGGTAACGGACGTTCTAGATCAGTGAAACGTCCCTCACGGTCAAAGTCAACATTCATTGATCGACAGAAACTAGGACTGCCCATATATTAAAATAAGTAATCGTGATGTGATTTTTTTTTTCTCGTGTCGTTTTGTTCAAAAAATTTAAGGCAGAAATTATTTCAATATTTTTTTCTTATAGTTTCAGAGTTAAGGTGCGATCACTTTTTCTCAAGCGAAAAAAGTCTGTTGTCAAGAAACTAAATGTTGTCATGCGAAATTCCAAATTACGTGGATTCCATTAAATAACTGGATTTTTTTTCGCGAAAATACGTCAAACAATTGTAAATGTGACTGCACCTTTAAGGATTATTGACAACATTTTTGTTACAAACTGAGGAACTAATCAGAATTATTTTATGTAGGCATTAGCTATAATGATGCTTTATACATTGAACCTGGACATTTAGTCCTTTTATGAAGCATTTAAAAGTTTGGCCCTCACAAATACAGCAAAACTATTGTGTAAAATCAGTATGAATAGCTGATGCACTGAAATTTCAGCAACCAAACATATTTGGCCGGGGAAAAAATGGATTCAGAGAGGCAAAACCATTGAGCAGAATGGAATTGAATGTATGGTTGAATAAATCTGTCATCATGAAAACAAATTTTTAGTACAGCTACTATTTAAATGTTTATATTTCAACAGCGGATTGGAGTAGAAACATAATTATATCATCAAAAAAATTATATAAAAACAGCCTTATGTGCAATGTAAATATTAATTCCTTTGTTTAACAGTTCTATCAGATTATTAGACAGATTTCTGTCCGTATTAAGCCTGTGTTATACTTTCCGCGCGTACAATCCGGTCCGCGTACGTGGACTACTTGCAATTATACTACCGAAACTGTGTTCCATACATGCGTAGTAGATCGGCTTGAACAATAAACAAACATGTGAACAAAGAATTGCCCAGAGTTATTGCACATCTGGCTGTCTTCATATTGTTTTATTGGTGGATTGTACAGATTCGAGTAAACAACGGGCTTCTTCACACAGCCTGCGCAGTAGCCTACTGACCACAAAAAATGGGAGGCACGCGGATGTCCGCTCAGAGCCTCCGCGCACACTCTCCGATGATGATTTTTACGTCACGCGCACCATAGCGGACTAGTGCACGCGGAAAGTATAACACAGGCTTTAGACAGAACTGTTAACGACGACAGCGAACAAGGAGAATGTAAACACTGTGTGCTCTCAACGCTGTCAATATAAAAGTCCTGCCTCGAACGCATCGGACAAACAGAAAAACTTATCGGCCGATGCCGATATTTGAAAAATGCCAAATATCGGACGATATATCGGTCGACCACTAATTAAGAAGCACCATCGGTCATCATTTACTCACCCTCCACTTGATCTAAACCTGTATTATAAGTTTTTTCCTTCTGTTGTGAACACATAAGAGGGTATTTTAAGAATAACCAAACTGTTAACGTTTCAGAAACTTTCAGTAGCCTAATTTATTGTTTTATTATTTGTATCTATATAGTTATTATAAATTTTTTCAGCTTTATTTTAAATCTTGAAGTTAAACTAAAATAAAATGAGAAATTATGCTTCTTTATATATTTTATTTATTATTTTGTTTACATACTCGGGATCAGGATCTCATGTGTTCTGCATTACCTGTTATGAAAAGCAGCCCTGTGGTGTGGCCTTCACTAATAGAGTGCATGTGATATGAAAATTGGGGACCTGAGGTCTGCACTGCATATGCACAAAAGTTCCCGTCAGCGCTTGTCCCGATGTTCTGCAGCTTTTAAATAACTTTGAAAGAGACCATTTCACATGCTCACTAAAAACACGCATGGTACAATGAAGACACTAGGCGCCACAGAATAATGCGTCCATTTACTGCAGTTGTTAAACACAATCATCTGTCCCAAGTTGAAGTTCACAGATATTTTATACCTGTTGTTTAGTGACTCAAGCTAACAGTGTGGGGTTTGTAGTTCACAGGTGAATCTGTTCAGGACAGTGTTTGAACGTGGGGGTGCGACGTTACCCGGTAATTACGGCGGGAGAGGATGAGCTCGTGTGTCAGGGCCGGTGTACGCTTACAGTAGCTCAACTCTCGTGTGTTGACATGCGTGCAAATAGGCCTACTGTACATACTAGAATCCGATCGTGCCAAATATGTGCAAACCAGTTTATGTGAGCTTAAGGTCATGGCCGTTGAGTCCGTTTTAACGGGGTGACCTAACACCCATATTAACCAACAACAGACCACATGATGTGAGGGACGATGGGTGGTGTCTTGTTGCATCAGTGTTGTTCTTCACTTTTAAGTTTATCTGGATCTCTCTCGTTCTTTTTCTCTCTCTCTTTATGAGTGTTATAGGAAAGAGTTATTGCTGATGCAGCAAGGATGATGAACTTCTTGGGTAAACGGAGAGAGATGACAAGGCATATAGAGAATAAAGGTCAGATTTGATCAAGAGAGTTCAGCCAGAAATGAAACGGATGTCGCTCATGTCGTTCCAAATCTGAATGACTTTTTTCCTTGTAGCACAAAATCAGTTTATTCTTTTCCATGCACTTGCAATGAATGAGAACTAGAGCTTTCAAAAGGATGCAAAAGTACCGTAAAACTATGCTATAAAAAATGTTCGAAGTTGTAAATTAAACACAGATTACTGGAGTATTATACCTCAAAATTTCACATTTAATTCAGTATGTTAATTGCCATTTTTTCATAATAATTTGTGAAATTTACTAGGAATTACTCAATAAAAAAATTTCTAATAAATATTTTCCCTCCAATGAGCTATTAAATGCCACAATCAAATTGTTTTATTTATTTATTTTTTATTTATTTATTTATTTTAAATAGGGACATCTGCAGTCCCTGGCCAGGAATAAAAGAATGGTGTAATTAAAACATTAGTCGATAAATAATATGTAAAACATCACACGTAATGTTAAAAAAAAGGCAAATAACAATAGTACAATTACAAGTAAGTTGCATAGTGAAAAATGATGTGACATCTAAAATTTATTGGTATAAAAAATTTTTATTGAAAAATCTGCTATATGAATATACAGGTTAATAAATTACTAAATTGCATGTTGTTCTTTAAGTCAGTGTGTTGAGCTTGAGAACAGAATCAGTTTGATTCATGAATGAATCATTGCAAAGATCTGACTCAAAAATGATTCTTTTGTGAATCAGATGTTGCTAATTCTTTTTCGTGGATTCTTGTGAGCTAGGGCAGACTTCAGGAGACTTGGAGTATGTTGCACAAGTCGTTTTGTAATACTTTAATGATTTATTTTTATGGGATTGAGCTCCAGTCCCCATTCATTATAATTGAAAAAAGAGGCCTTTGCCAGTGAACCAGTGTTATTTTTGTATCATAAACATACTGTAGTGATTTTAGTACATCAAGTTAAACAAAATGAGAAATGTCCCTATGGCATTTTTTTTTTTTTTTTTACATTAGTTAACATTTTTTTAAGTAACAATGTAACAAAAAATAACAAAAGCTACAAAATGATTTTATGTTTTTAGTTTGAGTTTAATATAATAATCCTGGTCTGTACATTATTCAGAACATCTCCATTTATGTGCCACAATAGAAATAAAGCCAAACAGGTTTGAGATGACATGATGGCAATTAAATTACGATGGAATAAACATCTCAAATACTGTTGTAACCTTGAACCTAAAAATTGTGATCTGTGATGTTGATAAACTACTCGTGAAGTTTAAGATATACAATAACAGCCGAGCTTGGCAGGCTTTAAACTCTTGTGTTCCTTCTGCTGGTGTACCAGGGTAACGTGTCAGAGAACAGGTTGACATTTCTGATAACAAAGTTTATTTAGTATGTGTGTAGTAACAGAAAAAAACAAACAACAAAGTTATGGTACTGATTTTTTTTTTTCCAAAGCTGGTGATAATTAGTGGTTGACCGATATGGGTTTTTTGACAGCCGATGCCGATATCTTATCGGCCAATGGCGATATTTGAAAAGGCCAAATATCGGCCGATATATCGGCCGTGGCGATATATCGGTCGACCACTAGTGGTAATACTGAGCTACTTTTAAACCCTGATGTTAATTAATGTCCAATTAATGTACACATTTTTTTTTTTATATATATATATTTTTTATTAGAGTAAATTTTTGTATTTAAATCATGATGCATTGTCAATAAATTTAGCATGTTGTCAGCATTTGCATGTCTGTTGTGTTCAAAAGTTAGGGGTCAGTAAGGTTATTTTTTGAAAGACGTTAATACTTTTATTCAGCAAGGATGCATTAAATTAATCAAAAGTGACAGTAAACGTATAATGTTACAAAAGATTTCAAATAAATGCTGTTTTTTTTTAAACTTTGTGTTCATCAAAGAATCCTGAAAAATGCCTCACATTTTCACAAAAATATGAAGTAGCACAACGGTTTTCAACATTGCTAATAATAAGAAATGTTTCTTGAGCAGCAAATCAGCATATTAGAATGTTTTCTGAAGGATCATGTGACACTGAAGACTGGAGTAATGATGCTGAAAATTCAGCCTTGCATCACAGGAATAAATTCCATTTTTAAAAGGTACTCAAATAGAAAACAGCTATTTGAAATGGTAATAGTATTTCACAATATTACTGTTTTTACTGTATTTTTTATCAAATAAATGCAGCCTTGATGAACATTAAACAGACAACTTTCAAAAACATTTACCTTTCAAAAAATCTTGCCGACTTCGTACATTAGTATACTGCAAAATATACCAGGGTATTTTAATGGTACTATATTAAATAATATTAATAAAAAAATGAATTGTGTAATGGTAAGGTAGATTGTTAGGCTAAATTCTAAGCAATTTCACATAATCTAGATTTATAGTAACAATAGCACAGTCCAGATTTATTGCAGAACAGGTTCAGTCTCCTCTCTCAAAGACGTTTCACTCTGTTACAAAACGCACATGCAGTGAAAGCGAGAGCGCTATGCAGTGAACTGTTGTTTACTATTCAGAACATGTCAAAACTCAAAGCCTCGGGGTAATTTCACAACAATCACTAGTGAGGTGACGTGTAATGGGGACAAAGATTCATGTCAAAGCATTGCTGGAATTATTGTCAGTGTAAACACCGAAAACAAACATGCGCTTTAATGCATTGATGACTTGTTCGAGGAAACCAGAGCTCAGTAACATCAAATTAGCACTAAATGTTTAGTGCTTGCCAAGTCAAGCATCACTTTTACTGTTGCTCATACTTGAGGTTAATGGTTTAGCACAACATTCACCCATAATATTTATTATATATATTTCAACATGATTCATTGTAACCCAGTCATCTGTCCGTCTCATAATTAGACTGTGAATCATCTTTCAGGATCCTGAAGTGTTTGAATAAATCTGTAGACTCTCCTCAGCTGCGGTGTTAGGTAACCGCAGATGTTTTTTTGCCCGTGTTTGCTCCACATATTCACATTACTGATATGAGCCTCTTATGTGTTCAAAGGTCGCACAGATTTATTGTTTATCGCGCAACATCCCATGATAAACATCAAATAATTTAGATTTTACAATACTGTTATTTTAGTATCACTTATACATTATCATAGTTTTTATTAATATTTTGAATTGGCTTTAATTTTTGTGTTTTCAGTTTAATTTTAGTTAAATTTTTAGTATTTTTGTGTGCAAGTATTTTATACACTTAGTTAACTTTGGCCTATAATTTATTAGTTTACAGTTAGTTTGTATATTACCATAATGCAGTAATTATTAAATGAATATAATAAAAAATTATATCATGCAGTTAGTATTTTTAGTGCTTCAGTGTAAATATATTTTTGTTCAGTTTAAATATTTTGTCTAATATTTTATTTTATTTCTTCATATTTTATTTTATTATTTTTGCTTTATTTTAACAAAAATATTATGAACAAAAATATTCTTAATAGTTTTCCTTTTTTCCTTTTAGTTAGCTTAATAACCCTGTCTCTTGCACACATACAGATGCATTCATACATGTTAGCCACGGCTTTAATTTTCTTAACCTATTGTTATCTTTCTTTAGAGATTAAAACGAACAATTCGGACTACAAGAAAGCAGTATAATTACATAGAGAGCTGCAGTGATAAGATATTTTTGTAGTAAATACGTAAGTTAGCATCACTCTGGTTCCCTCGAAAAAAACACAATAGGATTTTTCCATTGGCTTTTGGATTATTGCAGAAAATAAGCTCTATAACCAACCAAAGGTTATGTTTCTTACATGTTTTGTTCATGACGATAATAAACAAATGAACACAACTTTTATGAATTGAAGCCTATGTACAATCACCAGAAGTAAAAAGCTAAACATAGACTATAAATGACAAGAGGGAATTACCAAAAAGAAAATGATCTTGTGTTCACCACAGACATCATTTCAGGCTTTAAAAAAAACAAAAAAACATCTAAAAACACACTGACCTCAAGACATTGCAGTCGTAAGTGCCAAAATGCTTGTTTCTTTGTTTTGGCCTACAAAAATGCATCATTCCTGCAGCACTTTTTAGTGGTTGATCTGTCTTGTTAGTGCTTCTGTCTACGCCTGCTTAGACTTGGAGCCAGAGATTTGAACAACAATGATTTATATTGCAGACATGAGCAATACCTCAATTTTGATGGGCTGTTACATTTCTAAAACGTATGATTTGTGCCTGGTGGCCGATAAAACAGTGGAAAAGGCTCATAGACTTGCTTTGAAAGTGGTCTAGAATATTTGTGAAAATGAATTACTTGAATGATTGTTATCGGTCATGTTCTGGATTGTAACGTCTTTACTTCCTGTAGGGTCATCCGGTTCATGGTTCGCCATGTGAAGTACTTCCTGGGTCTGCGCTATCAGGTCAGCGGTTGGGAACATCTACAGACAGACGGACCCTACGTCATCATCTCCAACCATCAATCATCACTCGACGTGCTAGGTGAACGAATACAATCGACCAATCAACACAACGCAGTGCGTTCAGTGTTACTGTTATTATTACCACAGGATCAAAATCTGCATGACCAGACCTGCTTGAATTCACTTCTTTCCACCTGCACACCCAGATGTCACATGATGGGATTTGTGCAGCCAGTCTTTCTGTGCTGATTCTCTCCTCCTCTCTGCAGGCGTGATGGAGATCCTGCCGGACCGCTGCACGATGATCGCCAAGAAGGAGCTGATATGGGCCGGGACGGTGGGCATGATTTGCTGGCTGGGAGGAATCGTCTTCATCAACCGCCAAAAGACCAGCGACGCCAAGAACGTCATGAGCGACGCCGCTAAAACCATGCTGGCCGACAAGGTCTGTCTTTGCCAAGATCTCACATCTGACAAATGGTAGTTTAAACGACAATTCTTTCAGTTTGAACCAATTCACATGAGCTTTTAGGTTATTAATTGATGTTATATGATCTTATTGAAGTGTAATTTTTTTTGTTAACTTAAAGTTGTATTTAATGCCAAATTCCAGGTGAAAAACTACACTTCCCAGTAGGGCTGTGCGATATTGAAGAAAAATGCGATATGCGATACCTTGTTAAAAAAATGCGATATTCGATATGCGATACGATATTGCTTAAAGTGTGTAAAATCAATTTCAATTATATTTTAAAATATTTAAAAATTATATAACCAATTTGTTTCACATTCTTTCTTGGAAAAGAAAGAATCACTACAACTTCTGAAAGTGACCAGCAGTGTTTTAGCATTACATAAAAAGTAATGTCACAAATCAGAAAATGTCATTTTAACATCAGTGTGAACATACAAACAAAAAAATTTATGACACTAATTTTATATCATTGTAACTTTGCTTTCCATACACTTTAAGTACTTCTTCATATACCACAGCAAAAACTATAGTCTGAGAAAGTTCAAACATGATTAAAGGCAAGTGAACAGTCAGTAAAAAAAAAAAAGAAATACACAATTTACAAGCATAGATAAAATAAACGGTAGTATTCAGATACAGAAATTTTATAATTAGGTGTAAAATAACACGGCATAGTGTTCACTATATGAATTAAATTTAGATTAATCTTTGTTATAGCTGCGGCAGAACTGAAGAGACGCTGCGTGAGATGCGGCTGGTGCGCGCGCTTCAGGTGTGAGTCAGACAGTAAGACGAGACGGCAAAGAGTTGTTTTCTGCAACTTATTGCACTTAACTCTTTTTAACGTCAAGCAATTCTCTGCTATATGCGTCAAACTAAAACTTTGACCTTTTGCAACGTTTTGATTTAAGTAGCCTATTATTAAAATGATTCAGATATCGCACGCCCTTGCGATATGCATATTGTGATATTTACATTTGCGGTATTTCGATAATTTCGATATATCGTGCAGCCCTACTTCCCAGCGATCTTGAAGAGAAAATCATTGCAAACATGTCAGAACAATGTCCTCCTAGAGTATTATAAAGTTGTATAAATGTACACTACTGTTCAAAAGTTTGCATATAGGAAGATTTTTAAAGAAATTAATGCTTTTATTAAGCTAGGATGCATTAAATTGATCAAAAGTGACAGTAAAGACATTTAAAATTGTACAAAAGATTTCGGTTTCAAATAAATGCTGTTCTTTTGAACTTTCCTTGAAGACTAAACTTTTTAAAAACTTATCATGGTTAGCACAAAAATGAAGAAAATTCAGTTTTGCATCACAGGAATAAATTGCATTTTAATATTTATTCAAATAGAAATCAGGCATTTTGAATTGTAATATTTTTTCACAATATTACTGTTTTTACTGTATTTTACATAAAATAAATGCAGCCTTGGTGAGCAGAAAAGACTTTTAAAAAATATTAAGAAGTTTCACAGACCTCAAACTTTTAGCTGTAATGTATATGCTAATACTTTGATGCACATTAAAAATATTTAGTTTTTGTGCTTAAAATCGGCAATCACTTGCACAGTTATCATTAGTTTTATATTGTTTTTAGTACATTATTTGCAATGCTTCAGTGATTGTAGTTCATTCTCTTTGACCCAGGGTTATTATACTTCAGTAAAAACTATATATATATATATATATATGAAAATTAAATGACAATATAAAAAAAACTAAACTTATTTTATTCCAGCAAGTTTCAAAGGCAAGATTTGACATTTTTATTTTTAATAAAATAATGAAATAAAAACGAATAAAAACTATATTGACATATTTAAAAACAACATAAAAAAACTAATAAAAATGACAAAAACACCAAAAATGATTAAAACTTTAAATGAAATGACCATGAGAGTAGGAAATATAAAAATAAAATTTAAGAAACTATAGTATCTCAATGATATTAAAATAAAACTGCTTTGACCTTTTGACCCTTTTTACTGCTTTTGAAATACTTTTTGCTTAAAATTTGTATATGATGTTTATTTGGTTGATGGCTTAGAACTAAGAAGTTTCTATAGAGAAAATGAATGGGAAAATACAACCAAGACCACTAAAGACATGGACCGTTGCTTTCTATTAACTTACATTATTTTTCAATGCTAAACGTTCAAACAGTGGTGGAGATGTCATATTTAATTTGCATAGTAAATTGTGTTTTGGAATTGCCATCTTTTGATCTATATTGCATGATATAGTACTATCAGTCTTAGTGCTATAGTAGGGATGTTATAAGGAAGAGGTGCTGGAAACAATCTCATTTTGTGATTGCATTGAACTTTCCCTAGATCCGATTGTGGGTGTTTCCAGAAGGCACACGGAATCAGAACGGCGGGCTTTTGCCCTTTAAAAAGGGAGCGTTTCATCTGGCCATTCAAGCACAGGTGAGTGTTACTTCTAGACTCCTTCACTTATGCTTGACCTGATATAACCTGACCTGTAAGTGCAAAGGACATAGCTTTAGTAATTTACCTGAACAAGCTTAAGCTCAAAGGTTCCTCATTAACCCATGAAAGCCGTGTCAGAGGTCAGAGGTCGTAATGGAGACTGGCTTTACTCATGTGGTGTTGTGTCTTGTCTTCACCAGCAGAGAGAGCTGTGGTTTCTTGTTTAGTGTTCAGCTTCTGTGTTGTTACTTTCACTCTGGTGCATTTTGATCTGAACAAACTCATTTCTTTAGCCACATGAAACATTCCTTTAGTGCTTCTTTCTTTTATGTGGCTTGTGAATAAACTTGAGAGTTAAGCCAATTGGATCGTATTGGAACAATGAAACGCTTGGCAGTTTTTTTTTACTTTATTACTTCCCGTTTCAGTTTTTAAGCTTCCTGTTTAATTACCTATATACATATATGCAAAATATTTCAAAATGCAATTTATGTTATTGATGGATAATTCTGTTATTTTTAACTACATTTGAAAACATGAGTTAATATTTAAAAACATGAGTTTAGTCATTTTAAACATTTAATTTTTAAAATGTATTTAGAATTTTAAAATGGTAGTTGATTTATTTATCAGTATATTTATTTATTTATTTACATATGTAAAATGTAGAAATATATTTATTCATATATACACACACACACACACACACACACACATATATATATATATATATATATATATTCAATAAATTCTTTATCTTTCAAAAAGCAGTTTAATATGTAAATGAATGAATATTTTTTGTTATATTTAACATCTTAAACAAGGAATAAATAATTTTCAGTATTTATTTGTTAGTTTAGATTTATTTAGATTTGTTATACAATTATTATTTAATTTATTTAATATGTGCATATATTTGTACATATAAAATATAAAGATATATGCAAAATTATTAACCTTTTAAAAATGCAAATTAATATTCTAACTGATCATCATTTTATTGTAGTGCTGTCGAGCGATTAATCGCATCCAAAATAAAAGTTTTTGTTTACATAATATATGTATGTGTACTGTGCTTATTTATTATGTATATATAAATACACACACATACAGTATATATTTTGAAAATATTTACATGCATATACATTTATATATTTATATTCTTATATTTTATATTATGTATAAATATATTTAATTTATAAACATAACATATTTTTCTTAAATATATACATGCATGTGTTTGTATTTATAATAAATACACACAGTATGCACACATATATTACGTAAACAAAAACTTTTATTTTGGATGCGATTAATCACGATTAATCGTTTGACAACACTATTTTATTGTTATATTTCACTACATTTTAGAGGTAAATATTACCATTTAAAATAAGTATTATATTTTAAAACATATCTTTAAATGTTTTATTGTGGGTGTTACTTGCTAGTTAGTTATAACATACCAAAAACGGGTGACTGCCTTTTGTGTCATTTAACAAATAATTTATGATTTGTACATTGTTTTTTTGAATTCCCATTAAGTTAGTGCTTCATAGGCCCCCTGACAATGGTTTGAAAGCAGTTTTTCTTGTTGTTTTGACATATGTTCTTTTGAAACCGGATGTTTGGGCGGGTCATAAAAAATGCTTCCCTTTTTTCATTTTATAATAGACAATAGTTTACGTCACAGCTGACTAAACCACTTTGTGTTTTTGTAAGATGATCAATATTTTTGCTTCAGTCGAAGGACTGTGCATTTCAAATGCAAATTTGAAATATTTTATTTTTTCAGCTTTTAGGAGAGCACTAGCATATTGATTAGGCTCAACGCTAACAAAGCCTTGAAGCTAAAACAGACTTTCACGTCTCTCTCAATTAAAAGTAAAACACTACATCTACATTTCCATGGCCACAAGAAAATGTTTTGGATGATTGTTGTGTAATGACTACATGTAGATCATTTGTCACAAGTTCATATGAGGAGACTGAATGAGGAATTTGTGCTGAAAACTGAAAAAAAAAAAAAAATTTTTTAAAGTTTGTGTGTAGCTGCTTTTTAAGATCAGAATAAAGTAATATGAATCGTGTGTGATGATGCATACTGATATAAAAAATGGCAGGCCGACATAATCAAAACCAGATGAGCGTTGAGTTAAGGCAGACAGACATCACTTAATCTAGACCAAAGTAATAGAGGCCTGATGGTTCTCATTAGTTAAGGTAAAATATGTGAACAATCTGTGTCTTATCTTATCTTTTTATAATTGTTGTGTAATGACTACATGTAGATCATTTGTCACAAGTTCATATGAGGAGACTGAATGAGGAATTTGTGCTGAAAACTGAAAAAAAAAAAAAATTTCTAAAGTTTGTGTGTAGCTGCTTTTTAAGATCAGAATAAAGTAATATGAACCGTGTGTGATGATGCATACTGATATAAAAAATGGCAGGCCGACATAATCAAAACCAGATGAGCGTTGAGTTAAGGCAGACAGACATCACTTAATCTAGACCAAAGTAATAGAGGCCTGATGGTTCTCATTAGTTAAGGTAAAATATGTGAACAATCTGTGTCTTATCTTATCTTTTTATTCTGTGTTTTGTTTTGCATTTTGGCATTGTACAGATATAACGTGCACCCTAGGAATTTTATACATGGTCTAGACTTTAAATAAAGTAGGAATTTCAGCAAATAAGCTTGGAGAAATATTTATATAAATGACTGTAAAGTAAAAATGTATGTACAATGCAATGTAATATTATTATTGTATCATTCTATTAAATACATTTAAACATTAATTATAGCATTTTAAACATTTATTTGTCAATTAATATTTATTTAGAATTTTCAAATTAGTAGTTGATTTATTTATTATGTTTATATTTATATAGGAATGTTCAACATATTTGTAGCTTTTTCAAATGCAGTTTAATATTTAAATTAATTAATTTTATTGTTTTATTTAACTACATTTTTGAAAAAGATTTTTTAATTTGTCGATTCATATTTATTTGATGTTTAGAATTTTTGAATAAATTAGTAGTTGATTCTTTAATATAATAGCTCATATCTTTATTTATTATATGCATGTATTTTACATATAAAATATATGCAAAATAATTACCTTTCGAAATGCAATTTAACATTTAAATTAATGTGTCATTTTATTGTTATATTTACCTATGTCTTTAAACATGAATTAAACCATTTAAAATATTTATTTGTCGGTTTACATTTATTTTATATTTGTTTAGAATTTTAAAATGAGTATTTGTTTCATTTATATTATTATTTTATTTGTTTGTTTCATTTTTGTGGCATTCCTAGTCCTTCATAATTTTGAGTCACATCTTTTTGTATTGATGATGGTTAAACTGAAACACACTTTCCAGCCGAGTCGTCATGAGAAACGATGACTCTCTGGGTCTATTATTAGTCTGGGAGGATAGTTCGGTCTGTGTATGATCATATTTTTGTGTGTGAGAGTGTTTCTAATCCCTGCTAGCTTACTGTCTGCTGCGCTGCACACGGTCCAACCATCCCTCCCTCTCTTTCTCTCTTAGGTTCCCATCATACCCATCGTCTTCTCTTCCTACAGTAACTTCTACCTACGAAAAGAGAAAGAGTTCAAATCAGGTAATGCACATTACAAACAAATGTTATGGAGAAACAAAAGGCCTTTTGTGTTCTTTTGTGTGAATAGTTCACCAAAAAATGAAAATCTTTCATTTACCCTTCTTCGTGTTGTTCTAAATCTCTATGCTTATGAAAAAATAGAAGAAATAGTAGCCTATTTGACCTGTGTGCTATATTCAATGTTCTCTAAAAACACACAGTGAATGAGGATCAGACTGAACTTTCAGTTGTTGTTATTTATTATTTAATGAATTATTCCTTGTAATGCATTGAGACATTTTTATTAGTGCTTGAGCTTGTTTCTGCCACGATTTTAAAAAATCTGCCTTTTTTCTTGCAGTTCTGAGAAAAAAATCATCATTGTGAGATTAAAGCTCACAATTCTAAGATGAAAACTCTGAATTGTGAGATTAAAAAGTTGAAAATAAGTTTTTTCTTTTTTTGTTCTGTGGCGGAAACTCACAATTATGAGGAGAAAAGACAGAATTGTGAGATATAAACTTGCAATTGTGAGAAAAAATGTCAAATTTGTTTGATAAAGGCGCAATTACCTCTTGTTTTTTTAAATTCTGTTGCAGAAACAAAAAACAGAATTGCAAGATGTAAAGTCACAATTCTGAGTAAAAAGTCGTAATTGTGAGATTTACATTTTTTTAAAAAGAGAAAGTCACAATTACTTTTTTGTTTTTTATTCCATGGCAAAAAAAAAAAAAGGAATGTAAACATAATTCTAAGGAAGAATGACAGAATTGTGAGACGTGAACTTGAAAATCTGAATTTTGACATGTTTATGTGGGTTTTCTGTGTCCGAATTGTCAGATATAAACTTGCAGTTGCAAGAAAAAAAAGTCAGAATTGCAAGATAAGTCAGAATTAATTTTTTTGGTTTAATTCCATGGTGGGGGAAAAAAAAACAATTGCGAGATGTAAACATGCAATTCTAAAGAAAAATGAGGATTGAGAGATCTTACTAGTTTTAGTTCTTTGTCGGAAAAAAAACGCAGAATTGTGAGAAAAAAAGTGGCAGTTTTTTTTGTTTTTTATTTTGTGCAGTAAAAAAACTATTGTGAGATGTAAACGCAGAATTATGAGGGAAAAAAGACTTACGAGATAAACTCACAGTTGTGAGAAAAAGTCAGAATTGCGAGATAAAAAGTCACAATTACCTCTTTTATTTCTTTATTAGGTGCCTGAAACAAAAACAAACAAACAGAATTGTGAGATGTTAAGCCGCAATTCTGAGGGGAAAAAACAGGCTTATGAAATAAAAACTTGCAGTTCTAAGAAGAAAAGTCTGAATTGTGAGATTAAAAGTCGCAATTTTTTTATTTTTTTATTTTTTATGTAACGGAAAAAAGCTTCCATACAAACTAGAGCATGTCGATGATAATGTCGGCTAATATGGCTGTCTGCACTGTTTCAAACAGGAAGCATCACTCTGAAAATCCTTCCAAAGATCGAGACAAAGGGACTGACGGCAGACGATGTGACGACGCTCTCCGAGCAATCGTTTGGCATCATGCGTTCGGCCTTCCTGGAGATCTCCGGTCAAACGGTGCAGAGCAACGGGCCATCCACCCACTGAGCGCCCTTTCATTCGCTCCGACAACAAGGATGGCTTGAGGCTACTTCGTCGTCGTCGTGGTGATGCTAACCATGACAGCCAGGCGCTTTAGTGTCCTCTCCGACGTCCTCATGAAGCAGGAACACATGTCCATACAGACAGACAGACACGTATACATTCACCTTGACTACGGTGCATACAGCAGATGTTATCTTAGCCTAGTTTTGATCTCCCGTTGGACTCCGGGGGGCGCTAAGCGACGGAACGGCGTTTTTTCTGGCGCACCGCTTTGTTCCACGTCATTTTCGATGTTGGTTCGGCTCGGACTGCTTTTGTCGGCGACAGGTTGAGTTTTGGAGCGACGCCCTGAGAACATCGTGGATGTGCGTTCGACATGCATGCCTTTTCTATGTTCCACTTCCTTTAACTGATCTACAATGACTCGTTCTGTTCCTTTGTGTAGGTCACTTTTTCTCGAGGTTCTCTGCTTGCATTATGGAAATCGGTGACAAACATCTGTGTTCGTTTTACTTCTCTGTCTTTTTTTCGTATGCAAGAGTATTTTTCTTTAGACATGCCCCTTTATTGTTTTAAATAACTTTATTGATTCATTGACCAAAAAGATTCATTTGGAAATGTCCAAATGTGTCGTCACAACCAAGGATTCGGAAAACTGCTTATTAATTCAGTTTCCTCTTTTGTCATTAAAAGGTTTCATTCGTAACGAATATCTCCATTGTCACCTTTACAAAGTGCGGCTTCTTCTTGTGCCATGTGTCCAAAGTGTCTCAGCCGTTGGCTGCGTATAATGGTAGAATATTGTGGAAAAACACTTGATTATTGATCTGTGATCAGGATTGTTTGATTAGCGTTTCGGATAGAAATACGTTCCAGTTGGCTTAAGTTCGGTGCTTTGCTCATTTCCTGTTTTGGTTTGTTTTCAGGCTACAAAATAATATTTTCATTTCTAAAAATGTATTTAACATTGTTCAATCCTTTTGTTTAAACTAAAAACCATTCGCAAGGGAATTGTTATTATAATAACTAATCGAAGAAGTATTATCTAACACATTATATAGAGTATGGCGTTATCTAAGCAGCCAATTGAACTAAAATGTGTTTAAGAGCCTTTATTATTAATAGTCAGATTTTGAAGGACAAAATCAAAAATCTATTTTACATTTGTTGGCAAAACTTGGATTTTTCTTTCAAAACCTGCTGCTAAAATTATCCAGAGAAATTATTATAATGTAAAATGCTGAGGTTTGTAATATTTTTAAGTGGATGTTGACGAACGTGATCATAAATGGCGCTAAATTGCACTCTAGAAATGAGCCACGTTCGCAGATCGTCAACGTCTAGTAATTGTCATGAGCTTATTTCTGCTCATAGATCAGGTATTAAATTTTATCCTCAACTTTACAGTTTAACAAAAAAAAGTCCATATTTAAACAAATTATAAAAATAAATATATATAAATCTGAATATGTGAAAATGGCATTCACAATTTAATCTCAAAAGGACCAATTATTTAACACCTATTTATTAAACCAGACTGTATCGACAGCTTAGGGCAGTAAAGTAAGATGAATATTTGTTATTACTTTCTAATCGCATTGCATTGTTGAATCTTCTATTTAATGCTTATTGTTGCAGTTCTTATTGTTTGTTAAGAATGTATAACATCTGATCCTTAATTTAATATGTACAATATTATTTAAGAGGACTGAATTGTACGTATCTTATTATAACGGCTCGTTGAGCTGAAAGACATTTTGCTTTGAACGAATGTTCAGTTTGGTTTATGCTAAATGTCCAAATTAGGCCCTGTTATTGTTATTATTTAGTACAAATATAAACTCTTTTATGTTGTGTATTAGTTCACAGATTTTATAAGCCCCTTGTTTTGGATGTCATTTTTGCCCTGCTGACTGAAAACCATGCTGCGTTCACAAAACGGTGTGTACAAGGTGTTGTGTGATTTTCACCAAAGCTATTAAGGATGTACAACAGGTGAAGCTTGTAAACGCTCTGATTATAAGATCCGTTAGACATTTCACGGTCAGCCTTGTGTACGTGTGTGTATGAGAGAGAGAGGGAGTGTGTGTGTGTGTGTCCATTGTGTGCGCTGAATGTGTTTGTATGGTGACCCGACACACAAATGAGCTAAAGCCATTGTAAAATCTGTAACATTATATAAGACGATGATTATATATAAAAATGTTGATTGTGGTAGAATCTCTGGATGCGACCTGTGTTAAGAACATCTAGGACAGAGTCAATAAAATCGTCCGTTTTTCCAATAGGAATGGTAGAAGTTGTTTTTGACGTTTGTCGTCTGTCTGTCAATTTATTTACTTACACATTTACTAAATCTAAACGAGGACGTACCTTAGACTTATTATTACTACAGACAAACCCAAAACCTAAAAGAAAAATATTTGCATTTTTAGATGTGCATTTTTAGTTTTTTTTCAAATAATCTGTAGTTTTATTTTATATTTTTTTTAAAAATCTGTATTTTGTGATCCAATTGCAAATTTTCCAATACACAAAGTATGGAGCTAAAATAGTGTCAAAATTAAGGGATTAACAAATGTGCAAGCAAATTCACATTCACAAAAAGCTAATATAGTTTCAAAAAGAAATTAAACTCTGCATCTAATTTTGTGAATGTACATTTTGTTGTGCATTTGCATGCTTTACTTATTAATAGATTTACTAAATAAATGATTCATCAATGCTCAATTCACATTCATAAAAATAAGTTATTGCAAAACAGCAATTCACAAATTCAAAGTGAAATTTGGACAAAAATATTTTGTGAATTTAGTTGAATATTTACATAATGTATTTACAAAATATTATTCACAAATGCTCAATTCACATTCACAAAAAAGTTAATATATTTGCTAACAGTAATTCATAAAATCCATAACCTAATTTATATTCAGAAAATGAAATTTGGAAATGCAGAAAAATGTTTTGTGAAATGTACATTTGGTTGAACATTTGCATACTTGGCTTAATATATTTAGAAAATATGATTCACAAATGCTTAATTCACATTCACAAAAATAAGCTGATATATTTGCAAACAGGAATTCAACTCATAACTTGTAAGTTAGGTGAATTAAGTTGAGAGTTTTTACATTTGTTTGCCTATTTTATAAATATGCTAATTTTGAAACTATTGTAGCTCCATAGTAAAAGCAGGTTTTGTCAAATTTAGACAACTTCTGGAACAATTTTTTCTCTAAACTATAGAATTATAAACCTCAGATAATCGATGTTGTACAAATTGTGAACTTACTGAACCACAAACTCAAGAAACATTCAAAGTTTATGCAATTTTATTACAAAAATGTAAACATAAAATGATACAAAAAAAAGAAACTACAATTTTGTATTGTTTTCCCAATAGCAATACTCAGGAAGGACATGAACTTATAAATATGTAAATTTACATTTCTCCTGACTCAAACTTGGAGAGACCATACAGCTGCACTTACACCACGGATTAAATGAAAGAAATACATAGAAAAATATTGCGAAATATCCAAGCACCAGCTCATTTTGGCCAAACAGGAGTTTGTGTTTGACATTTTGTTTCCCTACATGCTTTTTGAGTGAACTGAACATGTTTACAGGGTTCAGGCCTTTGATCAGTGTTGGGGTTGTTCATTTAGACTTCTCAGATATTGGTTTCACTTGTGTCAGAGGATCCAGCCCATCTTTGATCGTCTAGTTCTCCTGGCAGGCACCTAATGAAGATGTTTTTGTTATTTTATCAATTGAAACGGATTGTACAGATAAGTTTCATACACACAGATATATGCTTACAGGCTCCGATACGCTCCTCCAGGAATCCGACCTGCTCACTGAGCGAGTCGATGCGGTCTAGTTGCTGCAGAGAATGCGACAGGAAGTTGGTCCTCTCAGGCAGGAAGCTGTTAGTGTCTCCCACACCATCCAAGGGGAAGAGCGTAGTGAAGGGAGCCAGAACCATCTCTAGTTTCTACAGAAATGAAGGGCTTTTTACATTTGAGGACACTCAAATCATAAGTTTACAAATGGCAAATATGAGAATAAGATTTCATACAGTAGTACTTAATAATTAACAAACTAACAATGCACAATACTTCTACAGCATTTATTAATCTTAGTTTTTAATTTCAACATTAACTAATACATTTTTAAAGTTGTTAATGCACTGAGTGAACTAACATGAACAATTGTCTTTAGTAACTAACATTAACAAAGATTAACAAATGCTGTAAAACAGATTAAGCATACAATTATATTACTATTTTTGCAGCATGTGGTAAGTTTTTGCAGATTTTCTGTGTGCATGGATGGATGACATGCTACATTCACCAAAATGTGCAAATGCACTGCAGACTATTACATTAACCATTAAACCATTTATCTATTAAATAAACTATTAAAGAAAATTTTACTTGAAATACGTAGTGTAAATATTTTCTAAAATTAAATAAAATATAAATAATTTTAAAATTTAAATTTAAACTTAAAAAAATTTAAAATGCAACTTTAAAGTTTAACTTGATGTACAAAAATAACTCAAAAGTAAGATTTAAAAATAAAAACTCATGAAAACTATGTAGACATAAAAAACAAAAACGAATTAAAATGGCATAAACACACAACAAAATTACCAAAAATGTAGCTAAAATTTAAATTGAAATGGAAAAAAAATACTATTAAAAAAATTCAAACTATTTATAAAAACTATAATAGTTTAACGGTTAACGGTCACCTGTATCTGCCTGTGTTTAATGCTTCAGAATCTGAGATGTGTGAGCTTGACTACTGCTTTTAATTAAACTATTAGCGAGGCTTTGAACCAGTAAGCTGTTTCCCATCGTTTGAAGTGGGATGTGTCCCGAGGGTGTGTGTGTGTGTGTGTGTGTGTGATACCTGCTCGAGGAGCTCCACTCTGTTTTTAAGGATCTGAACTTCTTCGGTAACGTTTTCCACCAATCCCAAACCTCCACCTTCAAGAACAAAAGAAATACAGAGAAATTAGAGACAGACCACACACACACTGACATTCAGCCTTAATTAAAACCTGTAATGCAGCGCACAACTCTATTTTTGATGTTTTAAGATCCAGACTTTGAACATAAATAATGCTTATATTCAGCAACATGCAAACACGCAAACTGACTGGGAGCTTTTGTAAGACTTTCAGAAAACACTGTTGTTTTATGTTATATTTCTGCATGTTCTCTGCTTTCATGTATTCGTGATTAATATCCATAGCGATCCCAGAGCAGACCAAAGAGCACAGATGAATAAAAAGACAGACATAAATAGAAATAGAAAGAGAGAGAAGGAGTGGAGGGGGTGATAAAAGGGGGAAAGTTTGAGGTTTGGCAAGAATATGATGCAAATACTTTGATATGCACTCGGGTCCAGAAGTCTGAGACCATTACTGAAAATGTTTCTTCTTTGATTTTTTTGTTTGTTTTTAATTTAATACAAATTATATTAACCGCTTTAAAAAAAAGTTTTTTTTAACTTGAATTCATATAAATAAAAAAAAAATTAAATGTTTAACTAATTTTTATTTATTTAGTTACATTTTATTTTGAATTTTACATTATTAAATTGTATTTAATTAATTATTTTATATATTATTTTTTTAAAGAAATAATGCGTGCGTTGATAACATTATTTTATTAAATAATGTATTTTATTAATTACTTAAATTATTAATGTATTTTTAATTATTTATTTATTGAAAATGATGCATTGATTTATTTAATTATTTGTTACCAGATTATTTATTTCGTTTTTAATTATTAAACAATTGATTAAATATTATTGCTTTAATAATAGCAGCACTCTATTGTGAATTGTCTCAAAGAACATCTTTTGCTTCAGTGGAAGCAGGAACATCTGACCGCCTTTGCAAAGTCACATGTCACTAATTTGCTAATTGTGACCAAGAAAGAGAACAAAATCTGAAACATTTCCTCATGTTACTTCATGTTTCTTTTGCTTAAAATGATTAAAAAACCTACAACTTTATTCATTTCCAGGTTAAAATGAGAAAATCCCAGTGTTCTCAGACTTTTGCACCCCACTGTACATGAAATCAGGTCAGATTTCATCACAAGCTCAAGTAAAAGAATAACCGATGACTGTGATTGGTTGTTTTTTGAATGGAAGTGATTGTCACCCAATCATATCAGAGCTCAGCCCAGTAAGCCCCGCCCCTTGGCAGTTATTCGGAATGTTTTGGGTTGTGAGCTCTAACAGTCTTAAAACTAGTCAATGAGTCGCGCACACACACACTCACACACACACTGAAACTCAGTCAATCTGTCCCAGATGTGTGGTGTTATGAAGACACGTGGGAGCGAGCGAGAGCCGCTGTGTGTGTGTGTGTGTGTGTGTGTGTGTGTGTATGTGTGTGAGGGAAAGCAGTGACCCCCAGCAGTCTGAGTTTGATAGATCTGGAATGTGAGCTCCAGATCGAGCCAAAACGAAAGCGGGAACAACAGCTACAAATGGTGTCCGGCGGTGGCCTCTGCAAAATCACCATCATCACACAGCTAAACATTCAGCTTCCTGTTCTTCTATCTGACGACACTAATGCAGTTATAAACTCCAGCTTTCTGGGGATTTGGGCCCCATAAACTCAACAGAGTGTTTGGACATTCATTTATGTGGTCAGAATGACATTATAACTAGAGATAAGAGCAAAGAGCAATGCTCTCTCTTTCTAAACAATTCACTTAAAGATAAGGAATGACATTTTTAGCCAAAGTTAAAAATACTCTCTCATTCCACTTGTGTACATATGTGCAAAATCAGCAAGTTTAGTCCAACAATAAAAAAAAGCTCATTAAAACAGACAACGCAAGAAAGACATGTTTAAATGACTTAAACATATCTTTAACACATGCACACATTGAATAAGCAATTAGACATTTTGCCTTTAACATGTATTAATAAATACCTAAATAATATAAAAAATACCATAGTTTGTTTTTGGTACTACAGGAAAAACTAGTAATCTGGTATTAGCCAACACTGTCATAATTAATTAATTAATTAAAGCAAGATTTTATTTTATTTTTTAAATAGAATGATTTTTATTGAATATTTATTTTAATATTTTATATTATTTTTATTTTTTTATATTATTTTATCTTTTTTAAATTATATATATATATTTATATTTTTAAATAAAATTTTTATTAAATTAGTAATAGTTTTA